AATAAATCAAAAAATCAGCTGGGCGTGGTAGCGCATGCCTTGTAATTCCCGGCTACTTGGAAGGCTGAGGCGGAAAGGATCGCCGGAGCCCAGCAGGTCGAGGCTGTGGTGGCTGGGAGAGGCCACTGTACTCCAGTCTGGGCAACAGAGTGAAACTCCAACTCAAAAAAACAAAAAAAACCCAAACAGATGCATAATCAGTAAGATCTACAGTCCAACAGCCAAATGTGCCTCTAATTTCTGCCTCAGAAATGCATTTAACTATGTATCATATTTAGGTCATGCCACATCTGCATGCACACATTGTACCCATAAGGAGCGAGGAAGTCGACCTGTGGCTCCCACAGCCCTGCCCTGGACGGCCCTGGCAGATAGATGGGACGCGTGAGTCGGTCCAGCAAATTCCAAGGCCTTTCCCCAGGGGTTCACCCTCAGCCTCCAGGCGGGGGAAGTGACAGAAGGAATCAGGGACCTAAGTTCTAGTCCCTGCTGGTACCAACTGGCGACTTGAGTAAGTTTTCTCCTTTCCTGGGGTGGGGGGTGGTGAGAGGATAAACAGAAGAGGAGCTAACCAACGCCCCAGAGGGTGAAGAGCTCGAGAAATGTAGGTACCTTGTCTCACACAGCAGCTCTCAGGGCCCGAAAAAAGTTGGTCTCTCCTTCCCTCATGGGCAAGAGCTTATCATTTCTAAGACTTTAGGAACAAGGGGAGTTTGGCTCCTAACTCTTAACTTGGGCTTTCATTTTAAAGTCAAGAGTTTTTTGGTTTTGGGGAATCTTTTAAAAATCAAGAATTAAAAAAGAACAAGCGGCTTAAAAAGAAAACCATGAGTCAGTGCTCTATCGTCACGTTCTAGAAATAGGCTTCCAACTTCCCGTGCCTGGGGTGTCATCCCAACACGTTCTTCCTCGGGCACCTGCCAGGGCCCCGGGTCATCACTCTAGAAAGGTAGCCAAACGCCCTCCAACACAGCTGCCTCAGGGCGAGCCCGTAGGTGTCTTTAAGCCACAAGGGGCCCATCTACAAATTGAAGCTATAGCTTCCTCAAGGGTGTGAATCTGGGGGCCCAAAGAGGCCCCTTTGGGGCAGGACAAAGCTTGCTCCCAGCATGCAGGCAGACGAGAGGTCTCACATGCCTGGGGAACCCGGCAGGGAAGAGGAACACGGTCGGGAAGGTGGGAAGAAGGCCCAGGGACGCACCCACCCGGCCCTGGCCGGGCCCCACGTACAGGTGGTCCTGTCGCTTGAAGGCCTTGCTGCAGATCTTGCAGACATGCTTGCGCTCCTGGCTGTGCGTCAGGTAGTGCTTGCTGAGTGAGCTGGCGCTGCTGAACACCTTCCCACAGAGGCTGCAGTCCAGGAGCACATTCTGGGGGGAGCTGTGCTGCCGCCGTCCTTTCCGGGCACTCCCCGAGGCTGCCCTGCCTCCCTCGTCAGCCTCCTTAGGCACCTTGAGCGTGCCCAGTCCCAGGTCTAAGCAGAGGGAGAAAGCACAGGTTACAGACAGTGGAGAGCGTCGGAAGGCACCCATGGCCTCAGAACCACGGGGCCTTGTGGAGTCAGCCAAGCGCTTTCACAACGTCAGAAGCTCAACATGCAAAGAGAATGGGGTGTGGGGAGGCAGGGGAGCAGGTGTCCCCATGCAGGCCACAGCTGTGGGAGGCACCAGGCCCCCGCACCACATGCAGAGGGACAGCGGCAGCTGAAGCACCTCTAAGACAGCATGGCCTAGACAGGCAGAGCTTTATGGCTACACCATCACCTGGTCCCCTCAGAGGAACAATCCAGAAATATATTGTCCAAAGTTTTGAAAAACTATAAATCCTTGAACCCAGCCAATTACACATTTGGTTTTGTTTGTTTGTTTTGAGAGACAGGGTCCAGATCTATCACCCAGGCTAGAGCAGTGGTACCATCATAACTTACAGCAGCCTTGACCTCCTAGACTCAACTGATCCTTCAGTCTCCAAAGTAGCTGGGACTACTGGTACATGCCACCATGCCCAGCTAATTTTTTAATTTTTTGTAGAGATAGGGTCTCAGTATGTTGCCCAGGCATGTCTTGAACTCCTGGCCTCAAGTAATCCTCTCACCATGGCCTCCCAAAGTGCTGGGATTACAGGTGTGAGCCACCAGGCTACATTTGGGTTTTTTATGTTAGGAAATAAATGTGCACACTGCACAAAGATCTGGTTGCAAGGAAGTTAACTGTCACATTGCTAATCTAATACCTGACAAGGGGCATACAGGTCACTGCATTATGGTTTAAGTGGTCTATGAGGTATGCATTTCAAATAAAACTGTAGGAAAATATCTAATGACATAAAAGCATGTGTATGTCACACTACTAAGTGAGACCAAAAGCAGCCACTTGCAAAACAGTCTCACTCTGTCACCCAGGCTGGAGTGCAGTGGCACACCCAACCATGCCCAATTTTTTTATTTACTGTAGAGACGAGGTCTCACCAAGTTGCCCAGACAGGTCTTGAACCCCCAGACTCTAGCAATCCTCTCACCTTCGCCTCCCAAAGTGCTAGGATTACCACACCCAGCCTAAAATATCTGAAAAGTTGCTCATAGGCCAGGCGTGGTGGCTCATGCCTGTAAGTCCAGAAGTTCGGGAGACAGAGATGGGAAGATCACTTGAGGCCAGGAGCTCAAGACATGCACAGGCAACATTAACGAGACTTCATCTCTAAAAAAAAATTAAAAATTAGCCAGGCATGGTAGTGCTCACTTGCAGTTCCAGCTACTCGGTAGGCTGAGGCTAGAGGATTGTTAGAGCCCAGAAGTTTGAGGCTGGTGAGCTGTGATAGTGTCACTGCACCCCAGCACTCCAGCCTGGGTGACAGAGTAAGATCCTGACTCAAAAAAAAAAAAAAAAAAAGTTGCTCACAGAAATATCATGTTTTTGGTTTTTGTTTGTTTGCTTTTGTTATTTTATTTTTTTTTAGTCAGAGTCTCACTCTCACTCAGGCTAGAGTGCGATGGCTACTGCAGTCTTGGACCTGCTGAGCTCAGATGATCCTTCTGCCTCAGGCTTCCAAGTAGCTGGAACTATAGCTGCATGCCACCACACACAGCTAATTTTGTTTTTAATTGTAGAGACAAAGTCTCTCCAAGTTGCCTAGGCTGGTTTCGAACCCCTGGGCTCAGGCAAGCTTCTCACCTTTGCCTCCCACAGTGCTGGGATTACAAGCATAAACCACAACCGGCCCAAAAACACTTTAACAGAGTAACAAGCAAGAACGTGGTATCAGAATCCAGTGGAATATCTATTATAATGACTTTCAACATGAAGGTTACCTTCATATATGGAAGCAAATACACTAAGTTTTTAAAACTTCAAATAGAATTATATACTTAATATTATCTCAGCAAAACTACGCATGTCTGAGTGACTGTACCTATATGTTTAAAAATTTACATGTGGGCCTAGCACAGTGCTCCAGCCTGTAATCCCAGCACTTTGAGAGACCAAGGCAAGAGGATTGCCTGAGCCCAGGAGTTCGAGACCAGCCTGGGCAACTTGGTGAGACCCTGTCTGTACAATAAATCAAAAAATTAGCCAGGCGTGGTAGCGCATGCCTGTAGTTCCAGTTACTTGGAAGGCTGAGGCTTTACCTGAGCCCAGCAGGTCGATGCTGGGGTGGCTGTGAGCATGCCACTGCACTCCAGCCTGGGCAATGGAGTGAGACTCCAAATCAAAAAAAAAATTACATGTGGAAGCAGCAGTGGAGATTTTTCTTGCTTACTACTTTTCTTTATTTTCTAAGTTTCTTTAATAAATATGTATTACTTTTCTGATTTAAAAAATTAATGTGGGCCCATATACTTATGAGTATGTGGACCCCAATTTTTTTTTTTTGAGTTGGAGTCTCACTCTGTCACCCAGGCAGTAGTGCAGTGGCCGCTCCCGGCCACCACAACCTCGACCTGCTGGGCTCCAGCAATCCTTCCACCTCAGCCTTCCAAGTAGCTGGTACTACAAGCGCACGCTACCACGCCCAGCTAATTTTTGATCTGTTGTAGAGATGAGGGGCTCATCAAGTGGCCCAGGTGGGTCGCGAACCCAAATTTAAGTTAAAGAAATGTAGAAGGCCAGGCTCAGTGGCTCAGCCTGTAATACCAGCACATAGGGTGGCCGAGGCGAGTGGACTGCCTAAGCCCGCAGGTTTGAGATCCACCCAGGCAATGGCGAGACCTCATCTCTACAATAAATCAAAAATTAGCCAGGCGTGGTAGCATGCACCTGTAGTTTCAGCTACTTGGAAGGCTAAGGCAGAAGGACTGCCGGAGCCCAACAGGTCGAGGCTGTGGTGGCCGGGAGAGTGCCACTGCACTCCAGTCTGGGTAACAGAGTGAGACTCCAACTCAAAAAAAAAAATAAATGTAAAACATTGAAATTACTACTTGGAAGGCTGAGGCAGAAGATCACCAGAGTCCAGCAGGTTGACACTGGGGTGGCCGGAAGTGTGCCACTGCACTCCAGCATGGGCGACAGAGTGAGACTCCAACTCAAAAAAAAAAAAAGAAAAGATCTGAAATTAGTATTTAGTGGATTCCTTTATTTATAAATGGCTATATATACATATATTATATATATATTATATATTATATATATGCATATATTATATATATATCAAAATAAACTAGGAGAAGTTGAACTCAATTAATGATTTATAATATTTGAAGGGCACAGATTCCTATGAAAATGTATAAGGGCTTCAGTTTCTCTGTCCAGCAAAAAGCATACATATTCACACTACTAGCATTCTTCAGGTAATTTCTCTGGTCCACACTGAAAACCCCATTTATGGTACCTCCAGGCCCAGGCCAGTGTCTGCAACCCAGCGGACATCTTCAGTGATGAATCGTGATCCCAGGATTTTTTTTTTTTTTTTTTTGAGTCAGGGTCTTGCTCTGTCACCCAGGCTGGAGTCTACTGGCATGATCATAGCTCACCACAGCCTCAGGCAATCCTCCGGCCTCAGCCTCCCAAGCAGCTGGGACTACAGGCGCACACCACCGGGTCTGTCAAACTTGTGAATTTTTTTATAGAGACGAGGTCTCACTATGTTGCCCAGGCTGCATCTTCCCACCTCAGCCTCCCAAAGTGCTGGGATTGCAGGCGTGAGCAGCCTGTAATTCTAGGATTTCATACTCGGCTGTGGTTCCAACACAGTGACAAGGTTTTTGCCTGTCCACTACATCTTCCGTGGCGTGGGCAACCCTCGGAAGGTTTTCATTCTAGCAAGTTCTTCAGAATGTCTTGGGTCTTCCATGCACAGATATAGTCTTCCATGCACACGCGTGATGGCTCAGTTGAGCCATCTAAGCAACTTACACAAGAACCCATGGAGGGGGTTACAAAGAGCAAATGACTTCATTCTCTGTGGGGGGGGGAAGGCAAACCAAAAGGAGATGTCACCAAGTGATTTCATTATTTTACTAGTTCTCCCTTCGCTCCTCCACTGCTGAAATGACAGACTCAGAACCAATCAAATGCCTGTCTAACGCCAGATGTGCTCAGCCTGTAATCCCGCGCCTTTGGGAGGCTGAGGTGAGTGGATTGCCTGAGCCCGCGGGTTCGAGACCCGCCTGGGCAGTGAGACCTCATCTCTACAATAAATCAAAAAATCAACCAGGCGTGGTAGCGCATGCTTGTAATTCCAGCTACTTGGAAATGGAAGGCTGAGGCGGAAGGATTGCCAGTGCCCAGCAGGTGGAGGTTGCAGTGGCCGGGAGCGGGTGACAGAGTGAGACTCCAACTCAAAACAAAACAAAACAAAACAAAACTCCTGTCTGCCTAGAGCATGATGACCCATACTTGCTTTCACAAGCATTTCTCCTTTTGCTTCTCACTGCTCTCACTCTGGGGGAGGCACAGGGAGTACTAGCACCCCCACTTTTCAGATGAGGACACTGAGGGTTAGGAAGCTCAGACAAGCAAGGAACATCGAATGGACAGGACCCCGGTTTGTACTGGCAGAGTGAGGAGAGTCTCTGATCTGTGGTAACGGGAACCCTACCATGAGCCACACAAAGGATGAGGACATCCCAAACGTCTACGCTTCTCAATGTTGTTCCTTATAACTAGCATTCTGCTTCCTTTACTAGGAAGTAGGGAACAATTCCCAAGTAGGGAAAAAGTGACTGCTCCCCAAGTCACCCGTGGAAGAGATACATCCTAACCAATCCTCGCAGAAGCGGTTCAGCCAGCGCAGGGGCTTGACTGACTGCCAGCCTCTCTCCCCAGTGGGCTGACTCACCTTGCAGGGACGTCTGAGGCTCCGAGTCTGCATACTCCTCCAGCAGCTTTGTGGAGTCACTGTCCTTCCCTGAGAACAAGGACAGGGTGTCCAAGTTGTCTTCCAGCGCCTCGCTGGGCACGTCGGGTGCAGGGAGGCTGGAGTCCAGGTCCAAACCACTCAGGCCAGCATAGAGCAGGTCTCGCGAGCTGGGACCCAAGTCCCGGTTAAGGGTGTCACTGCAGGTGAACCCTTGGCTCTCTGGAAATGGTGGGAGGTGCATTTCCGATGGAAGGACACCCTCGTCCCCAAGGCTGTACTGGTCCATGGTTCTCCACTGACAGGTCTTGGCCAGGAGCGACTCTCTGGACAAGCAAAGCTGTGCAGGGTCAGGGAGGAGAGAGCCCTCACTGGCAGCTCATGCCTGAAAATGAAGGAGGAGGAATCAAGGTTAGGATGGTGGCAACACAGCATGGTAGATGGAGCATGGACATGAGATTCCAACAGAACTTTTCTGGGTCTGTTCTCTGCCACTTAATGACCATGTGACTTTGAACAAGTCACTTAAGCTCCACAAGTCCCAGATGCCATCTGCAACTGGGCACAAGAGTACTCCCCTCACCAATGAGGCTGCTGGAAGGAATAAATGAAAGGATTTCCAGCAACATGGTGGACTGAGCTGACCTCTTTCTCCAGCTATAAATACATACAAACGTGATAAAAGAATGTTTTTAATGCATAGCCAAGCTCAAAAGACAGGGAAAACCCTAAGTGCTAGCAACAATAAGAAAGCTCAAAGCCAGAGGCATAAGCTCAGTTGGGCCCAAGGGAAAAATCAGACTCAGATTTAGGCCCCAGAGCTGTTATCCAATATGGCGGCCACTTGTCGCATGTGGCTAGGAAGCACCAAAGTGTGACTGGTGCAAACTGAGTCATGCCGTGAGTGTGAAACTGGATTTCGAAGATTTAGTACCAAGAGCTTCAAGTTTCATGAGTTTTTAATATAGAATAAATGTTAAGTGAGAATATCTTAGATATAGTAGATTAAGTACAACATAACGACTAAAATGAATTTCATTTGCTTTTTGGTGGCTCAGCCTGTAATCCTGTGCCTTTGGGAGGCTGAGGAGAGTGGATTGCCTAAGCCCACAGGTTTGAGACCCGCCTGGGCAACTTGGCGAGACCTCATCTCTACAATAAATCAAAATGAACTGGGCGTGGTAGTGCACGCCTATAGTTCCAGCTACTTGGAAGGTTGAGGCAGCAGGATCACTGGAGCCCAGCAGGTCGAGGCTGTGGTGGCCGGGTGACAGAGTGAGACTCCAACTCAAAAAATAAAAAAAGAAAAAACGTAATCAGCAAGTACTTTGGGAGGCTGAGGTGGGAGGACTGCTACAGCCCCGGAGTTCAAGACCATCCTGGGCAACATAGTGAGACATGGCCTCTACTAAAAATTTAAAAAATAACCAGGTGTGGTGGCGCATGCCTATAGTCCCAGCTACCCACGAGGCTGAGGCAGGAGGACTGCTTGAGCCCAGGAGGTCAAGGCTAGGAAAAAAAAAAAAAATGTTCCACACTGGCAGTTTCTTATAAAGTTAAATATAAGCCTACACTTTGATCCAGCAATTATACTCCCAGGCACCTATCCAACTGACCTAAAATTCAAGACCTCACAAAAACCTGCATATAAATGTTTACAGCAGCTTTATTCATAATTGCTCCACTCTGGAAACAACCAGGATGTCCCTCAACAGGTAAACAGATCAACAAACTATGGAGCATCCAGACAGTAGAATATTATTCAGCAATAAAAAAGCAGCAAGAAGCCGGGCTCGGTGGCTCAGCCTGTAATCCCGTGCTTTGGGAGGCTGAGGTGGAAGGATTGCTGGAGCCCAGCAGGTCTAGGCTGCGGTGGCCAGGAGCAGCCACTGCACTCCAGTCTGGGCGACAGAGTGAGACTCCAACTCAAAAAAAAAAAAAAAAAAAGCAGCAAGTTATCAAACCACAAAAAGATATGGAAGAATGTTAAATGCACGCTGCTAAGTGAAAAACGCCGGTAAAAAGGCTATATGCCGTGTGACTCCAGTGACATACTGAAAAAGGCAAAACTAGAGAGACAGTAAAAATATCTGTGGGGCTGGTCACGAAGGCTCACACCTATAAATCCCAGAACATTTGGGAGGCCAAAGTGGGAAGACTGGTTGAGTCCAGGAGTTTGAGACCAGCCTGGGCAACATAGTGAGACCCCCACCACGACGAAAAATATTTAAAAATTAGCCAGGCATGGTGGCAAGCACCTGTAGTCCCAGTTACCTAGGAGGTTGAGGCTGGAGGGTTGCCTGAGCCCAAGTATTTGAGATTATAATAGCTACGAACTGTGCCACTGCATTCCAGCCTGGATGACAGAAGGAGATCCTAACTCTTAAAAAAAAAAATCAGTGGTTGCCAAGTTTCAGGAGAAGGGGGAAGGAATGAAAGGGTGCCACACAGAGGGATACAACTATTCTGCATGATGCTGGAATGGTAGATACATGACAACACATGTGAGTCACACCCACAGAACTACACAACACAGAGTGAGCTCTAATGCAAACAGAGGATTCCACACATCCCTGGGTCCCTAGAAGGCCACCCACTCAGAGTAAGCACGGGCTCAGAAAAGGACTTAAGCAAGCTATGTGTACCCACCTCCGGGCAACCCTTGCTCTGTGCCAGCAGCAGGTAGGGGCACAGGCAGGGCTGTAAACAGTCTGGCTGGGTGCTGAAGGTGCAAAGACTGGGAGTTTTAAAAAAAATTTTACTCCAGGAGTTTAAGAGAATTTCTGTTAAGTCACTGACTGACCACTAAACTAACAAAACACACTCTACTGACCATGGCCGACAAAGAACACAGGCTACAAAAATAGTTCAGAAAAGCCACCAAACAAACAATTACAACCCACCATATGCAACAAAAACCAACCCTGGGGGCAGGGGCTGGGAGGGGAAAATCTGATCCCTAGAGTTACCAGATGATAATATCCAAAGTGTCTCATTTTTCAGCAAAAAACTATGAAGCATGCAGACAAACAGAAAAGTGTGGCTGGGCATGGTGGCTCACTTCTGTAAACCTAGCACTTCAGGAGGTTGAGGCGGGAAGATCACTTGAGCCCAGGAGTTCAAGACCAGCCTGGGCAACATAGCAAGACCCCATCTCTACAAATAAAAAATTTAAAAATTAGACAGGTATGGTGGTGTGCACCTGTAGTCCCAGCTACTTGGGAAGCTGAGGAATGAGTCCAGGAGGTCGAGGCTGCAGTGAGCTATGATCATGCCACTGTACTCCAGCCTGGACAACAGAGTGAGACCCTGACTCAGGAAAAAAAAAAAAGGTAAATGGCTGGGCTCGGTGGCTCAGCCTGTAATCCCACGCCTTTGGGAGGCTGAGGTGAGTGGACTGTCTGAGCCCGCGGGTTTGAGACCTGCCTGGGCAGGCGAGACCTCATCTCTACAATAAATCAAAAAAATAATTAGCCGGGCATGGTAGCGTGCGCCTGTAGTTCCAGTTACTTGGAAGGCTGAGGTGGAAGGATTGCAGGAGCCCAGCAGGTTGAGGCTGCAGTGGCCGGGAGTGGCCACTGCACTCCAGTTTAGGCGACAGTGAGACTCCAACTCGAAAAAAAAAAAGATAAATGAATGCATACACAATCTTTTAAGCAACCCCAGTGGAGTCTGGGCCAGCACCCCATCATCAAATCATTATTTCTGCATCAACACCCACGACTCCTCAGAGTAAAGGAACTCAAGACTGTGAAGAGTCACATGCAGGTTCAGGTTTGGCCACCCAGTGAGACTTGAGATGCCTCAGGATTCTCAAAGCTTTGGGGGTTTCCAAAAAGAGAAGAGAGTGTGGATCTGCAGGCAAAATGAATTTCCCCACAAATTCCACGATTTTTTTCTCCAGTGCTGCTATAAACCATATTCCACACTCCAGGGGAAAAGAACCAACTCCTCCTCCATCTCCCATAACAAGAAAAAGCTAATAAAAGTCACATTTAGCCAGGCTCGGTGGCTCAGCCTGTAATCCCGCGCCTTTGGGAGGCTGAGGTGAGTGGATTGCCTGAGTCTGTGGGTTCGAGACCCGCCTTGGCAGCGAGACTTCATCTCTACAATAAATCAAAAAATCAGCCGGGTGTGGTAGCACATGCCTGTAATTCCGGCTACTCGGAAGGCTGAGGCGGAAGGATCACCAGAGCCCAACAGGCGAGGCTGCGGTGGCCGGGAGCGGCCACTGCACTCCAGTCTGAGCGACCGAGTGAGACTCCAACTCAAAAAAAAACCAAAAAATTTAAAAAATTTAAAAAATAAAAGTCACATTTACCAAGCACATTCTCTGGGTTGGGCTGCATATGTGTATTAACTGACTCCTTGGCTCAAGCCAGTAATCCCAGCACTTTGGGAGGTCAAGGTGAGGGGATTGCCTGAGCCCACAGGTTTGAGAACAGCCTGGGCAGCTTGGTGAGACCTCATCTCTACAATAAATCAAAAAATTAGCCAGATGTAGCGCACGCCTGTAGTTCCGGCTACTTGGAAGGCTGAGGCAGAAGGACAGCCTGAACCCAGCAGGTCGATGCTGGGGAGGCCATGAGTGTGCCACTGCACTCTAGCCTGGCTGACGGAGTGAGACTCCAACTCAAAAAAATAAAAACAAAAAAAAACTTACTCCTCACAACAATCCAGGTCCCATTCCTACTTCTACTTGAAAGATTAGAGAGTAAGTAATTAGTCCAAGTCACATCCCTAACGTGGTGGAGCCAGGTCTTAAATCCAGATACTTTGACTTCAGGGCTAGCGGTCTTGCCCACAAAACTGAACCAATTGCCTATAATGCAAGCTGTACACTGCACAGTTCCAGTTAAGCTAGAAAATATACAAGGTGCTAGAGGGGTGGGCGGGCAACATCTCTGGGTCCTACAAGGGCCAGACCGTATGCTTTCCAACACACTCCCATGGTCCACAGAACAAATTGGTCTTGCTACAACCTCAGACAGGCAAGCCAGAAGTCCAAGGCCAGGCCTGGATATTTACATCCTCTTCCACATAGTAAAGCAAAATCAGTTCACCTGTTATTTAACCTGTCTTGTTCTGTCAACAAATGAATTCAACAAGAGTTTTAGCACCTTCTATGTACAACGTTCCCTGCTAGTCCCTGGGAGGCAGGACTTGAGGTCCCCTACATCCCGGCAGACACTCTCATGGGTCCAAATACTCTTTCCAAGAATTTTGTGATTTTGAGAACAATCTAAAAGAAAAGAAACCAGTCTATCTGGATCATTCGAAGACCGCCTT